CTATGTTCCGCCTATTTTTTTAAGATAAGTTATTGTGTTGAAAATTTCGAAATAGTACTGAAATTTTGATTCATAGATTCAATAGCTGATGACTCTTAGTTACTGGAATCACTAATAATTTACACCTATTTCTTTTTGGTTACGTTTTTTTTTTTTTTAATTTCTATACCTTAGTGTAATTGTAGCTTTGATTAACTAGAGTAATCTATACACATTTCCTAGTGTGACATAGAAGAAAAAAGAATTAAGATTGGTCGTGATAAACGCAAAAACTGATCCAGAAAATTTTTTCCTTGAGGAAAATGGGATGTATACAGTCTGAATTTCGTATAGATAAGTAGTTATATATACTTTACACCTTTCGTAGCGTAAATGGAGATAGTCTTGACAGTCACCTTGCGAATCACGTGAGGATATGGGTCGAGGTTAACAGCATTCCGAATGCGAGATGTCACACAGACGACAATTCCGTACGGAAACTCGTTATAAGAACTTCCGAGCTTCCACCCACACGTTGGACCTCTTGGCCTTAGTAGATACGCGGAAGAAGATTCAACCAGTAACAACCCATCACGACTGAAAAGAATACCTCGAACGCCTAACGATGTTAAACTTGTGCGTATTATAGGGTCCAATCTTAAAAGAGAAGAAAAACAAAAGTCGTAAAAACGGCTAGTTCCTCATTCTCCCATCTACATGACGTTAATTTAATATTCATTAGGGGCATATTAATTGCATGTTTACCAACTCTGAACTTAATCGACACCCGAGTGTTCTCGACAGACATTTAACCCAATGTTCATACTATCTACAACAAAACTAAACTACTAATTTTAACCAGAGCCGGCGGCTCAATGACTTGGATCTTTTAAATGTCTTCCTGAAATTTTGCAGACGTTATCTATTAAGGCCAAGTATATGACATTTTCCGGTTTTTTTTTTGTTTGTTTTGTTTTTAGTCTTGCTTGTGAAAATAAGAAAAAAGTTCAAAAATTAAAATAATTATTCCTCCATACACACACACACACACCAACGATAAATTTAAAAAAACATAATAGATTACTTGTCATCTGGACCTGGATGACGAGTTGATGAAATATGGAATAGAAAACTTAAAGAATTAATTGATAATAATTATAGTTTAGGGTTTTACTGTGGTGTCAGTTGTTTTGCAGCTTGCTTATCCTCTTTCATTTCAAATATTTAGGTTGCTTTAATCCTCAATGAATAGGAAAAAGTCCTCAAAAAAAATAATGTTTATCGTTGATAATTCAAGATTTTAACTTGTTGATTTCCTTGCGTGAATAATTAGCATTGAATGCAGTAATTTGGGTTATAACCTGCAGTATATCTAATGTTAATTAACCAAGATTATAAGGGGTTAAAGTTAAAAGTATTATAAGAAGCTTTATAAGAATTTAATGGCTACGTTCCGTTACGGCTAAAATTGCATTATTTAATTTACAACTTTGATATTTCATAAGGAAACAATTATGTTTTTTTTTCAAATTTTCGAGACATTCGATATAAAATATCCGATCCTAATTGAGCAATAACCATAAATGAGATCTAGTCTGACATCTGATTAGATGTAACCCGGTCCCAAGTACAATATCGACAGTTCCGATACGCGTGGTTAGCTTTCGAATTGAAAAGGAAAAAATGTGTGTGTTTATATATATATATATATATACACACAGTATATATCTGAAGCATACAGTTCGATAAACTATTATATCGATGACGACGACAATTCCAGCATTTTATGTATTTAAAAAAAAAATGATCGAGTCAGTGATCTCTCGACCTAGAGGCCAACTGGATAAACTCTTATTGGATGAAATTAGTGGTGTGAGGTGACCTGTAAATATAGATTCATGCAGTTAGAAAGATCCGTTGTTGATATTAACGAGAGATATAATGCCGTGGCAATGATGATGGAATTTCATTGAAATTTCGAAATATCGATGTTTAATAAAGAGAATGAAAGTTGGAAAAATTCTATTGTTAAATTTAAGAAAATTACGTTGAAAGTCAGGAAGAACCGAATCCCATAGGAGTAAAAACTCGAGAGTAGAGCGCATTGCATTTACTAAACGTGACCTTGACAGTGGTCCTGACTCGACCGGAGAGGGGCTACAAGTCAGTTCGTCGTTTTTCACCACGTCGTTCAAGAAAAAAGAAAAAGAAAAGTCTCATAGCAAGGACGGCTTCGGGATAGATTACATACCATCCACCAAATACGGAGAGAATTGCAGGCCATAGAACCTGAGGGGGGTAGAAAAGAAAAGGGAAAAAGGAAAGCCCTCGGGATACTTTTTTTTTTCTTGTTACTTCGCAGAAGTCACTTCACGTTCGATCTCGAGAAACGAGAGGTTTATTCGAGAATACCTTGCCGTAGTAGGTAATGGTTATAAAATTTCCTTCACCCTTTGCAATTTCCAAGGACGACTAAGTGAAAGTAGACGTCTCGTTGCGCTATCTGCATCGGAAGCAGATAGATGGACAATGACGTCATTTATTGCAGAAAACTGCCGTATATATATATATATAAAAAAGGCCAGCCTAGTAGACAATATTGAAGCGTACAACACCCTTCTTCTGTAAAGTCTAATTAGATACCATTGTATAAATATTTAAACGTGGGTAGTTAAACGCAAAAATAGGGTGTTTTTCGGAAGCATTATGGAGGCGCCCGTACGACTACAATTTTTCGCATCTTTCCACCCAAGAGAGAGCTTTCTGCTGAAACTGACGTAACAGTTACTGCTCTGAAACATGATCTGTTCCACGTCTGTCGTTACTCGTCCGCTAAACAAATGTCTTCTATGCTAAGAAAGAATGTAAACACAAGAAGTTCCCAAGTTCATCTTCATTTTCAATACCCTTCCTTCGCGTCCTTCACTTACGATCTAAATTTATCGCCTACTTTTTCCTTTTATGTCTTCTAAACTAAGCATAATTATCATTTCGAATATGTATCAGATTACAATTAAACATCAAAAAGAACTCTTCGACAAGTATAGCATATTGATAGATCGATTATTAAATGATACCGTAGCGAGTTTAAGAGCGATGACTAAGATTGACTTTCTAATTAAGATTTAAAAAAAAAATCCTTTAAATTCCAGAACAAATCAATTATTCGCACCATTGTGCTGAAACTGGAGAAAAAGATGTTTACAAGACTGGAAGCGAGTTCAAAAATGTTGAGGTTCGAAAATGACCCATATCACCCAACCGGATCGTTACAGCTAGTTTCCCCTTTTATCATTCACCAAGAGTTTGACCTCCAGGTCAATCAGATGACAAAGTTGTTATCCCTGACACCACTGTAGTATGGATATCGAAAAGTCATTTTCCGAGGTATAAAGACGATGCACGTCTGTACTGTACCAGAATAGAAGAACAGAAATTCTTTAACTACGGATTAAGTTAACCACTCGATATATATCAGAACTAATTGAACGTAATTAAAAGTAAGCCCGGGTCACTAAACACAAGAGTCCATCTACAAGAATAAATATAGAATCGATTTTATAAACACCGACTGCTTGAAAAAGTACTTCAAAATGTATAATGTGTGTGGCCCGTTATTTAACTTTCCTTTTCTTTTAAGTGGCAGAACAAAATATTTAGTTCATTTTAAATTAGATGAATGATCCTTTCAAAAATCTTAAATCCTGTTTGGAGAATACCTCTTGTGTGCTAAATTTAGATCCTTTGAGTTTCTCAATATCGATCGTAAGGAAAAAAATAATAATAATAAAATCGATAATTCTGCAAATCTACTGAAGATAAACGCCTTGGCGTTTAAGATCATTTTAAAATGGTGTTTTGAATATTTCTGCAATATCATTGTTGGGAGAATCTTTTTCTGAATGAAACATTGAATTCGATCCACACATTTACCATTCTGTACGGCAAATGATTTATAAGATGTGTTGTGTTTTGTAATAAATATTGATGTGTTTTAGACTGATCGATTTGGCTAAAAGCCGTAACTCAAAAATATGAAAACACGTACACTAACACATCCAGGAAGTATTGATGTAAACTCGAAGCCTTAGAGCATATGACAAGTCAGTACAGGAAGCAAAACCAGTGAGATGTAAGCCATATCAACAGAATTTTTTCCTGCAATGAAACAGGTTTCTGACTAAAAGATGTAACCAATAGAAAGCTGTTAGATATACAAAAATAAAGAATTCATATCTAAAAATTGTTCAAGATTGATCCATGGTTCAGTAAGTTGAAGGATGTCGTCGTCGTCTTTGCTTATTATCGATTCCCTACGTTATTTAAATCTTCACATTTCTTGTTTTTTTTTTTAAAAAGAAAAAGCCCTTGACGTACGGCTAGAAATATCCTTCGGGAGTCCACTTTATATTCAGATAGTTTAGCTGACTACAGAACATGACCTTTTAAGGACAGGAAAGGAAATTTTTAAAAACCATCTGTCAACGCGTGTAATCACACCATCACCAAATTAGCATCCGAACAGGATGCTAGTACAGAAGGGAAACCATTTTAAAAATTTACATCATCAAATATCATCTATTGTTTAATAAGATTTTCAGAAAATTCAAAAAAAATAAATAAATAAATTTATTTTCCATAACCGAAATTTATTAAATACTATAGATACAACTATGAAATTCACTCTACTGTTTTCCCCAGTTGAGTATAGATCGGCCGAGTAATTAAGGTGTAAATTTAAAAATGGAGCGTGCTATTTGTTAAAAATAGCAAAGTTTAGATCGTAGAGTATATAAAAAGAAAAAAAAAAGGTAGCAATAATATTCACAGGTCGTAGACAATGTCGCAAACAGAGTTGTCAACCAGTTTCCTGTCCTACACACGTGCTGTAGGAGGAGGAGGGTCGTCGCAATGCATGTCGGGAGATACAGGTGTATTACGATTCAACCCTTATCTTTATATTTACCTACTTATTAGTAAAAAAAAAATAAAATAATCTCAACCACGTGATGGTAACTCACCCTATTGCACTCCAAAGCTTCGGCGGAATGGGCATCTTTGGTCCTGAAGCAATTCTGACATTTGGTCTTGTTGAATATATTCGGCGAGAACTTCTTGCAATCAGTTTTCAATCCGCTCATTTCTTATCGGATAGAATTAGCGAGGAAGAAAAGAGAGAGAGAGATAGAGCGTAAACTCACCCCACCTGCAAAATTTTCCCATACATGGCTTTAAAAAAAGTGGAGGAGGGACGAAGGATAAAGCTGGTAGAGGGCTACCAGCCCGCACGTGCAAGCACTCTAGTAGACTAGAAGAGGGACGAGCCAACTACAGGTACGAACTTGGACGGGCCCCATGGTATTCCGGCTCTTTACATAGTCCGACTGATTCGGAAACGATGTTTACAACACACGGCGATAATCCTGAAACGATTGAGCGACGGGGTCGATCGTATTTAGCACATTTACATACAGTTTTGAAGAGAGTTGCAGCACAAAGTCGCACCTTCACCGCTTTGAAGCTACCGATCTGTCGTAGCCTCGACTCCGCTCTCGAGGTCTGCCGCGCATGCGCTCTAATTCGCCGTACCATCGTCCTCTAAATTCTCTTTTGCTCGTTTTTATGGTCTGTTGGAGCGATTTGTAAGTGCGACAGACAAACAAAAGCCATGCAAAATTTTCCATATTTCATAATTACTCGCGGAGAGAATAAATCGTTCCTATTCCGTTCTTTCCCTAGCGAAAGGCGAATGTACTCCTCCTCTCTTTTTAATTTAACTAGCGTGCGTTTTTACTTCCGAATTTTTAAATTTTAAATCCACCAATCGATACGTGCGTTACGTTTACTTAAATAAGATGACGTAGTACGAATTTCGTAAATCGTCTGCATAATTTTTTTTGTTTAATTAAAACATTTATTATTTAATATCAGCGTATTTCAAATAATATTTTCTTACGTACTCGTAAAATTAAATAATAATAAATTTTAGTTTAGGTTTACTTCCGTAAAATTCGACCAATTAAATTAAAGGATAAATTTTTTTTTGTTTTTTTTTAAATTTAAACCTATAAAATATAGGCCTATAAATAAAAATGTGTGTGTGTGTATGAACATCGCATTTGCATTTTAATTATCTCCAATGACACTAAAAAGGTGTTGGAGTGTTAGACGACCTTCTCCGCATTCATTACAAACGAGATCTTCGGAAAAAAAAGGAGGGAAAAAAACTCTTAGTATTTAAAAAAAAAAAAAAAAAAGGTCAGAAAGATGGACCATGTCTCCGTTGCAACGGCAGTGTTGGTGACAACAGGTTTCAAATATGAAAAACTAGACCAAATGTAGCGTAGAAGGCAAACATAAACACGTTGGACAAGGTCTGTGACCTTTCAACTAAATATCTGTACAAGATATTAATTAAAAATTTTACGATCTTTTAACTTTATATCTAACACACCGCCGAAAACAATGAGAAAATCATCCCGAACGCGTCACCACGCGGCGCGACATTACGGGTGACATCACGGACACGTAACAGAGCAAGTCCTTACGTCAGGGACCTTTATTACGTAACACCGGCATCTTTAGCGTGATCGATGACGCGTGATTTTATTCAAATTTTTCAAAAAAATGCCCGACGTGTTACTTCGTCATTAAATTAATCGTTTCCTCATCGTTACACAGAAGTTTCGATGACTTGAACTCTTTTTACGCACGGCAACCGGACGAACCAGGAAAAATAACTTCTCCCTCAATCAAATATTGCTGTAAGGAATGCTTAAATATATGTTATTGCTATAAGAGCCGACTTACATTACCATCTGTTAATATTTTCTGATTGTAAGTTTTTATTTATCGGCCATAGAGAAAAAGAATAACCTAAGTAGCTTTCCAATATGTCCTTGATAATATAGAAAATATTTATCTTTAAATAGTATATAATGCTAGCTTTGTACCGAGTGTAAACATACACTACACCGATTGGATTAAGTGTAAATGGAGAAGTGAAGATCGTATACGATAAGAACATAAATAGAACGTTTTGTACTTAATAGAAAAATAGATAACTATTGTGCTTCATTCCAGTTATCACAGATAAAAGAGGATAGTCCGTGCTTCTCGTGTGTTAAAGTTCAACGACGTAAAATTCAATTGAATTATCATTAAAAAGCGATGATTTTTTAAAAATTTTAGGAAAACAAAATAATGTTTATTTTGAGTAGAATTATACAGAAAACACATGTAGTGACAGGAAATCATTCTTCACAACCGACTAGGGTATTGAGTGTATATATACGTGTAAGGAGCTAATCCTAGCAGATGTTTGCATTTCTATCTTAAACTCCCCCAACTAAAGATAAATAAATAGCAATTTTGGTAAGGAGAAATATATCAAAATATATAAAATTATCTCCTTTAGTGTTGTATCTAGAATACTTTGCAATATAGATAGAAGCAAAGACTCCCCTTGATAAATTTATTTTTTTTTTAATGCTTTAAAACAATTTTTAGCAATGTTGCAAACTTTGTTAAGTAGGTTAGAAAAATATTAAAGTTCTTCTTGAGTAAGCATAATAAATTTCGAGTAATTAACACGAACTTTTTCTAAGTATAAATATTTAAATAAATAATATTTACTTCTTAAAAACGTTTTAAGATTGGTAATTATAAATATAAAATAAATAAAATATTTCCTGTATTTCTTCTAAGGAATATTAATTTGCTTTTCTATATATATTTCTTTTTTTTTTTTTTTTTTGCTCTAGATTCTAATTCAGTAAATCAATAAAACATAGTCTCAGTAATGGAATATGAAAGGTGATTAATTCAATTTTATTCTATAAATAAAACTCATGTTAATAGTTTTTATTATTAGAAGTACGAGATTAAAAGGAAACATGTATAGTACATATAGGCCTATATATATATAAGGCAAAGATATCTTTAAAACTGAAAATTAATGCACCACCATCTGTGATGAACACCTGCTTAAGAGGAAAGACCCTGAAGCGCCAAGAATCTATTCAAGTAATTTTGTTAGGCTTTCGACCTAGAAGAATTATTCTTTTTCATCTTCTATGTCCTAAATTTTGAATCTAATTGTAGGACAGACTATGATTTACGACATTTGAGCGAAAGGAAAGAAGTCTTAAACTTTAAAAGGCAAATGATCTGAAAAATATCCGAAAGTGATAAATGGAAAAACTTTCCTCACAAGAAAAACTGTGATAAATCTTTACAAAAGTTTGGATTTTTCTATTTTATTTTATACAAAACTCCATTTCTAATGTTAAAGTATTGCATGTATGAAAATTTTCCATGATTTTATTGTCTAGAATTAACTGTTACTTAATGAGAGAAGGAATAATTTATCCTAAATACTAGATCATGCATAAAGAAGGGAGATGAGAAAAGAGCAGATGGTAAAATGTTGCGGGTCAAAACCGGAGTTCAAGACGTTACTATTTGGAATGAAAATTTTCCTTGTAAAATTCATCTCGCAAAGTAATATTCAGGAAATTCGAGAAGTATGGCGAAAATTTAATTAAATAGAAAATGTAGGCCTATCTTTATCTTGCGAAAAAAGATTACGTAATTGGTGATGAAACGTAAAGTCAGTTTAGTCGTGTAATTGTTTAATAATTTAGCAACGTGACTATAAATATATATATTTTTTTAAAATTTGATCATTATTTAAAGTCGTGAGTTATAGACCAAAGCTGTTTTTTAATCAAGGTAAAACTATTGAATTGCAAGCTAAATCCGAACGTATCTAAATTTCAACACCGATGGTTCTCTATTCTAATCATCGATATAACGTCATTAAGAAGCAACAAATGTTTTTATTGTTCATCATTTTCCACATGGAAGAACACGAACATCCTGCACTGTCGTCATCTCATTCGTGTTGCCTGTTTTGTCACACCCCAACATCCCTCTGTCATCATGACCAATACTCAAACAAAATTATCGGGTTACTAACCTACGTCGTTATTTAAATAATCGTTAAAACAAAAATCGATTGTTGTCATTAAAAAAAATATTAAAAAAATAGCATTTAAAGTCCTCTCATCTGGTATAAATTCGGACTACGGTTACCGTATTGTATGACGCTACGCCATTAATTGTGTAATTCGGTTTGCATTTAATTTTCCGGTTTATTTAATAAAATTAATGCCTTTTTATCGGTTAATTTACAACCATTTCCTTCGTTTTTACTTAACCGATCTTACTCAAGCGTGTTAAGACAACGGGAATTGCATTTTAACCGCTTCTCTTCCTAACTATCTCCTTTCACTTTATAAATCGCTTAACTGTTTTGACAGTCTGGAATGTAAACCTCACGTTCTCTTCTTTTAAAATAATCATTGGATTTCAATAACCTAATGTTACAACATGGCTAAGGTAACTAACTATACGAGGAGGCATCAATTACTGATCTGTGACCAAGATAAGCCATGGCGAAGATGCAGTGAAAAACGTGACGTGGTTAAAGATATTCGTGGTTCCTCTCAAACAGCCCTGGGTAACATCTCAACCCCAGTTGTAATTTGTTGCATATTTTTAAGAGGCCGGTAAACAGTTGTAAAAGATCACCCGTAATTTCATATTTACTCCACAGATGGCGTTCGTGTTTATGATGATAAAATCATCATCATCATCATCATCATCATTTTATTAAAAACAATATCTATATTGTTAGGGGGAGAAACTGTTTCGGAGAGAGTAACACGCGAACTTATTACACCTCCGCCGTTCTTTTACAGCGCGTTATACACGGCAATAAACAGCGAAAAACTTAAAATAATGGGCATAAATTGTTTTTTAATGATAAATTTTACATGTTTTTCGTTTTATTTTTTTAAATTTTACATCTCTGAAGATAATCTCGAGATGGACAAACATGTGATAAGGAGAAACCAGGCTATTACGTTTCGCAAAAGTGCGAGATTTCCCTTTTAGGAGATAACGCATTAGTCTATACGAAACTTCTCTCGTTTTTGCTTTATTAATAATATATTTTTTTTTTTCTCTCTCTCTCTCTCTCTCTCTATCCTAATGCATTTCCATTGAAAGGTTTTGAGGTCATTTAATCAAAATTACGAAGCGAAGCAGAACTACGATTTATTAAACCACACCCTACAAAAATGTTATTACCATTATGTAACTAATAAAAAGATACAATTTTTAAAAACATTTAAATCTTTTTAATAAAACTAAATTAGTGTCGGATTTTTTTTTTTTTTTTTATATATATATACTATAAGTCGCGAAGTTTCTTTTTCTTTTCTTTTCTTTTCTTCTTTTTTTTTAATGAACAAACCGTTGGTTTTCAGAATGAGGTTCGAGTAAAGTGGGACAAGTGAGTGTAGGAACCAACGTTCGAGACATTCACCCCAACAACAGGTCAGCGTTACGTAAATGGCCTCAGGATAAACGAGTATAGATAATGGGAATAAAACTATTCCTTCTTTTTCCCAAGGATGCAGTTCTGTCTCTGCCTCTCTCTCTCTTTCTCTCTTTCTCTCTCTCCTTTCTAATAACACCTTGTTAAAATTCCTTCAGTATTGTTTAGTAATTGTGTCAAGAGCACTTTCACTATTTTCTCCCATTTCGATGTATCTTTTTTTTATTATTATTATTTTTTTTTCCTTTTACTTTATTTCATATGCGTTAGTAATTATTGTTAATTGAGAAGAAAATAATAACGTTATTTTAAACGCTAGATGGCACGCTACCCTACAATAAAAAAATTAGAGCTATTTATTATTCGTAAATGTTTCCTGAATTAATTTTTTATAATGATTTTATTACTCTAAAAAAATTAATTAATATTTAACAAAATGTTAATTTTACGTGAACTTATTTTAAAAATTGTACTAAAATTAAATTAAATTAAATTAAATTAATGTATGCAATTCGATCGATTTTAAATTTTATAAATTATTTTAAATAAACGTTTTTTATACGTTTTGTCGAAAAAATTTTTTTATTTATTTGTTTTTTTTTCAGTTTTTTTATGTATAGTCACGTGATTAAACGCATTACTAATCACGTGACGGAACACTCCGTACGATTTATGTACGGAAATTTTACGTATAAAGCAAATTTTTTCCAGTCATTCACCCGTTAATATTTGAAAAGTTTTTTTTTTCTTATTTTTATAACCGCTATAAATGTATAAAAATTCCAAATACTTTCAATCTAAAATTCTTTTTTTTAATCGTAAAAAGTAAAAAAAATCATCTAAGTTTTAAAATTTCATCACCAGATGGAGACATGACGCAAAGTCAATTTTTTACAATAAAACACTCGAAATAAATTATTTAACGTCGTAATAATTATTAAAAAAATATATTTAAACGAATAAAAATGCAAATTTTTATATTAGTAAGCTGTCTGACTAAGAAATAAGGAGAAGAAGAAAGAAAAAAAAAAATTAGTTAAGTTGGTCGGCTTCTCTAGCAAATGACACCAGTTCCCAAAAAAGGTAGTATGATGTATTCAATGAGAAATCACGTTTAGTAAGGATTCTCTGTAGGTCTCGGACGCCCACAAACTGGACTGTGTGGGCTTCTTTACTTGTGGGCCGATTAAACCCACAGAAAATTCTGTAAAATAATCGCAAAAGATAAAGAAAGATGATATCTGGTAAGGTTTCGAGATGAACGAAAAAGTACATCCGTGATAAGATTAGGGGGAAAATACCCGAGATACACCCGAAGTAACGTAAGAGAATTTTTAAGACAAAGAAGGATGCAGAAAATACAATAAACAATATAAAACGAGACAATAAACAAGAAAAAAAATTAGGAAAAAAATAGTAAAAGGTTATTTACAAATATTTACATTATATATATATGTTTCTTTTATGACGGGTCGTGTTTAGCAATAATTCTAAATTAAGATGACCCTAATTAAAATAAACATGACCACAGTTAATAAACGTTTAAAACATTTTTTCTTTAAGTTATTTCGTAAAATAAATTCTTCTTTGTTTATTCAACGATTAAAATTAGAAAAAGGAAATATTCTGGAAGGGAATTTTTGTAATAAATTATGGAAAAAAAAAATTGATATTATTTTGAATTAAATCATAATTAAAACTTGTATCTATCTATATATTTTTTTAAAATAAATTTTTATTTATTTGTTTTTTTTCAGTTTTTTTATGTATAGTCACGTGATTAAACGCATTACTAATCACGTGACGGAACACTCCGTACGATTTATGTACGGAAATTTTACGTATAAAGCAAATTTTTTCCAGTCATTCACCCGTTAATATTTGAAAAGTTTTTTTTTTCTTATTTTTATAACCGCTATAAATGTATAAAAATTCCAAATACTTTCAATCTAAAATTCTTTTTTTTAATCGTAAAAAGTAAAAAAAATCATCTAAGTTTTAAAATTTCATCACCAGATGGAGACATGACGCAAAGTCAATTTTTTACAATAAAACACTCGAAATAAATTATTTAACGTCGTAATAATTATTAAAAAAATATATTTAAACGAATAAAAATGCAAATTTTTATATTAGTAAGCTGTCTGACTAAGAAATAAGGAGAAGAAGAAAGAAAAAAAAAATTAGTTAAGTTGGTNCTTTAACAACTGACAAGACAAATATTCAGTTTACTTATCTTTATACTAATAAATTTCTAGTAAATCACTCAAGAAGGATAAGACTTTATCTAAATTGGATAAATGTCAGATTACTCAAGGGGGGAAAATACATACTGTAATTTTTTTTTAGAGAGGAAGATTGAGCTAAAGATAATAAGGATAATGTTTATAAGAGAATTTTAAAATATATATTTTTTTTAAAATAAAAATTAAACTAATAAAGAGATAATCTTACATCTTTAATTAACCTTGTTGATCTTAACCTTGACATAAATTTATATTTTCTCTTGTTATTATTAATATTAACTTGTTTGCATAATATTATCAATTCAAATACTTGTTAAATATAATTGATGTTAATAAATTAATGATTATTATCTTTTTTATTTATTTAAATTAAATATATTTGTATGTACCTATATATATATATACATGTTAGCATCATTAACATACAATAAAATAATTAACACTGCTTTAAGGGAAACACAATAGAATGATATAGAAAAAAATTGGTAAATTTTATATTAGATTAATTTGCAACAAATGATTTCAAGAATAAAAAAAAGGGATAAATAATTTTATAAATTATAAATACTATACAAATAATCATATTTAATTCATATAGCAAGCGACAGATGGCGCTACATTTTTTTCATTTATTACTCAGATTTGACGTCATCATTGCGTGTAAGTGATTTATTTTACGGGAAAAACGTACTTAAAATTTTTATTTTATAATTAGATTACACGTGTATATTTTATGTACTTTTTTAAAAATATTGCGTATTGTTACACGCCATTTTTAAAAGGGAAAAATGGCGCTAATATCCGCGGGGGACGTTTAGAACAACCGAGTAATAAAGATTTATCTTTAATTATTTTGATTTAAATTATGGGCATAATTAGAAACGGGAGCACAGGATGTCAAGATGTGACGTAGTAATGATGATATACGAGCTGCTATTATTTTGGAAAGGATGTGTGTGGCTCGGCTCTTCCCTTTCTCTCCTATCGACGAAGATCGGCAATAGATGGCGCTCGACGCCAAAATGATCACAATCGGAAGATGAAGCGAATCGATAACATCTGTTTTCCATCCCAAATTGTGTCACGTGACGTCGAGAAAGTTTGTCCGAAAACATCGTGTGACGTCGAAGCCAGATACGCGGATGAAAAATACTTTTACTAGCTGGCTCGTGACCGCTTGTCAAGGTCACGCGCTTGAGGTGGGAGTCAGGTGGAAAACCGGATAAACACGATGTATGACGAGCATGCGTCGAAATTTTCGGGTGAAGCGGTACAACACCACACCAAAAATTAAATAAAAAAAATAATAATAATTTATTATAATAAATACTACAAACAAAGAATTAATTATAGAAAAATTCAGGTAGGAGAAATTAAATTCATCTTCTTAACTCTTTTTTTTTCCTCCCCATCTTCCCATTCTTTCTTCCCTTTAAACGTATTGTTGCTTTTCCTTTAATTCATTTTAAACAATAAAACTGATTACGTATTTATATTTAAAGCGTAAAAATTAAAGTTAGAGCCTATTTATCGAAGGTAAAAATCGAATACACGTGTTCGATTTTTATGTATTTTGTATACATTTCAACACACGTAACCAGTTCTGGTGTTAGAAAAACACAAAAAAAAAAAACACGCACATTGTTCGACAAACAGGTGGACTTCCATTACAATTTACGCATCCACCGGGTTTATTGTATCTTTGATAAGTTAATTCGAGAAGCAATGAATGAATTTTTGATTATTTTTCTCTGTTTCCCCCCCTTCGGATGACCAATCAGATAACAGAATGAACGCGAGGCGTTACGCACTCGTCTATCGCTATGGAAGACTCCGACCGATCTTCATTTAGCAATCACCCTTTCACACGACATTACAAACACCGAAATCTCCGTAAGTAAATATTAAATTTTGCTTGTTGCTACACGCTATAAACTAACATACCGGCCTCTCTATACTTATATATTCTTAAAAATTATATAAATACCTATCTGTAGTATATATATATTAACCTATCAAAATACTGCAACACATAATCTAAATTGTTTTATAATATATTTTAGTGTTTTATAGCAAACGTCTATTCGATAAGATATTTAAACTACTTGCTTATAAATTTTTACCGTGCGTGAACTAGTTTATAGAGTTCTCTAGAATATTATAATAAAACTACAATGATTTATAATTGTAAATTAAAGGAAAAGAAACGTTAAGTTTACCTGGAATTAAATTTAATACCCTATTAAAATACTTTAAACTACGTGCAAAATCGTAAAAAGAAAACGTTTTTAGTTTACTTTAAATTTTCGAATTGTTTAAATTATTTAACGGAAGAAATAATATGTAATAGAAAATTGTACTTTTTATTCTAGAAATTCTCGTAATTTTAAAACCGCCCGAAGTTATTATTGTAACCCGAACGGCAACAATAAAATAAAATAAAAAAAGGGGGGAAATAAAATATGGAAATTGCAAACTAATCTGCAATTTGCATATATAATAAACTAAAATTTGCAGATTCATTCGTTATAATTAAAACTTTGTTACCCCATTTTTCTAGAATTTAATTGCATCTATATTATGATTAACAAAGCAAAATATTCGAATTTTACACTACCGTTTCGGCACAAAGATCGCATTACGTGTAATCTTAGACGTTTTTTTTAGCTAAGATTACACGTGAAAACTTTTGAAATTTGTTGACATTTCCGAAATTTTCAATTGGTAATCATAAGTTCGACAGAACAAATTGGTTCCATACAATTGACGTCAATGTAAAAGATTGGTTCCATGTGATTAAATGATAAAATTTATTCCAGATCAGATGATGACTGGACGTTGAGAATATCTCTCTCCTTTAAATAACGTTTTTTGTGATTTATCATCGAGGTTATAAGACATTTTGACATGAAAAATTACATCATCAATTTAACAAATATTAATTCTACGGCATCAGTAAAAAGAAATCTTTTAAATTTGCACTTCCCTAAAGATAATTTCTAGCTGATAGTTGTGTTGAAACATTAATATGTTTGTCGTCCAATTATTTAAACGTCAGTAAGAATTATAGCTCGAGAGGTCAAAGGGTACGCAGTAAAACAACATTATTATCTGGTTTAATTTAAACAACAGAAATTAATTCGTCGTTTTTAAAAATTCTTTGGCGAAATGTGGATTTTTTTTTAAGGGAGAAAATCATACAGTTGCATAATTGGAAATTGAGCGCGACGTCGAGTTTTTACACCATTTAATAAAGGTTTCCATTGAAGGAGAAAAAAAAGAATCGCAGTTGAATGGACAATGAAGTGGACGAAATTAAACAATGAGTGCATAAATCATCTCATCTGCCTTCCTGTTTAAAAACTATTTAGTAGATTTAACATTTAGTCACTATACAATGCACAAAATTAAACGTTGGTATAAAAAGGTGTCAAGGTTTCACGCAAAAGTGCAAATTCCGACAATCGAAATTATTTGTTAATCTATTATTCTTGTTTCCCATCATTTTGTGCGTGGAAGGAACCTTGAAAAAAAGGCATTAAATTTTATTTTTTTCTTTCTTTCCTTTCTTTCTTCTACCTTTCCGTAAACAATAGACTGTTTGATGAAAGTGTGCTTTCGGAGAATGTATTGTGATTTTTACACGTAAAAATCGAATGAAATTTTATAGTTAATAGAAATCTTTAAGTTTGCAGTTAAAGAACGGGGTTATGTTTCGAAACTACGTTTTTAATTATTATGTAACCTTCGAAATAACGTTATTTACTTAAAATTCTAACACCTACGGCTATTTTACCCTCTTTTTTTTATGTAGATGAATTTTATTAGATTTAAATGTGTTAAACTAATATTTATTTTGAAAAAAAGAGGATTTTGGACACTTTCTCCTCTTATTTTTAATGTGAAAATTGAATGATGCATAAAGCAATTGAGTTAAATGAGGATGTACTGTACATTAGAATGTAACGTGCTAATAAAAGCGGAATAATTCTGACTTTGTATTGTATAACACTTTTAATGAATGAATTTTTTCCCCAGAAATTTATTTATTTAAACGTATTTTTTTCCGTGCAGAGAACTGTTCCACATTTTTATTATGAAGTAAAAATGAGCAGCAAACCGACAAACAGGTATTTTGACGGGGAAATTGGAGCTCCTTGGCAAGAACTTCTTCCAAATGGTGTTCGTAATGTTGGTGACGTAGATGCCTCGTCTTGCACTCCATTGGATGATCAATCTCCGACATCGATCAATCCCCCATCTTTAGGAAGCAAAGATGAAAACTCCATGGTTAGATATCAACAGACAAAAATAATACCGGGAAGAATACGAAAGCGTGTGGTGCTGAAAAATGGCGTCGTTAATTTATCTAAAGCTCATTTATCCAAGAGAAGTCAACGCTACTTGCAAGATATCTTCACTACTTTAGTAGATATCAAATGGAGATGGAATCTGTTGGTATTTGCAATGGGTTTTATTCTTAGTTGGCTTAGTTTTGCCCTCATCTGGTGGCTCATCTGTATGGCTCACGGAGATCTGGATCCTGTGGATGACAATTGGAAACCTTGCGTAGAAAGTTTAAATTCTTTTACGTCTGCTTTCTTATTTTCAGTCGAAACACAGCATACTATTGGATACGGTTCAAGATACACTACGGAAGAATGCCCCGAAGCTATCTTTATTATGGCCATACAGTCCGTGACTGGTGTTATGATCCAATGTTTTATGGCAGGTATTGTGTTTGCTAAATTATCCAGACCTAAAAAACGCTCCCAGACATTAATGTTCAGTCGTTATGCGACAATATGTTTAAGAGATGGCAAACTCTGCTTGACTTTCAGAGTTGGAGACATGAGAAAATCACACATTATAGGTGCAACTGTAAGTGCTCAGTTAATCCGAAGGAAAACGACAGCTGAGGGAGAAATCATACCGTATTATCAGACAAGTTTAGATTTAAAGTTTGACGAGGGTGCAGATCGTGTCTTTCTGATTTGGCCCGCTACTATTGTACATCAAATCGACAGTAACAGCCCTTTTTATGCTCTCTCTGCAGAAGACATGTTGAGAGAGAGATACGAAATTGTAGTCATTTTAGAAGGAACCATTGAGTCTACCGGTCAGTCGATTCAAGCCAGATCTTCATACCTCCCAAACGAAATTCTCTGGGGTCATCGTTTCGAACAGGTTGTAAGTTTTCGTAAAGAAACAGGAGAATACTTAGTTGATTATAGTAAATTCAATAGTACTCAAGAAGTGGAGACTCCTCTTTGCAGTGCCAAAATGTGTTATGAATACCAAAGAATGGTTAATGATATTCCTAGAATCTTGCAAAGTCCAAGTTCGGCTAGACCAATAAGAAGATGCCTTTCTAACATTGAACAACATCAGCGTGGAATTACATTAGATGGCGAAGAACCTTTCATTGATGAATGTTAAATTAATTCATAAAACAAAGCTCGATACGTTACAAATCAATTTTTGATAGACTATAATTTTAAAAACACCGTATTATTCCGAATATAGTACTATCTTTTTTTCCGAAATGTCTACTTCTCAGAGTAGTATTTACTACATGCAAGTTCTTTCTACCCTTATACTTAGTATTATTGCAACATCCTGCAGTTAAAAGTCTGTTTTACTCTACTCAAATGTTGCTAGTGTGGTATTTTACGTAGTTTTTACATAAGAAAAATTGGTGGACACGGGTCGTGTTGAAAAACGAAGCTCAACATCTCGGCAGCTAAACAAGGAAATAAGAAATCATTCGACTCAGTTTCAAAAGCACGATTCTTCGATATGGCCAGAATCAATAATTGTGAGGCAGCACGAAAATTCGGAACGACGGAGGCAAACATGGAGTACTATTTTGTAGGCGATTTTATACATGTAAAAATAAAGGTTGCACTATATTCGGTTTGTTCTCCCTTTATATGAAGCACACCTTGAAACTTGGGGTCGTATATTCGGAACAATACGGTCTTTTTTAAAACTCTTTCTGCCCTGTGAGCACTAAGAGGATCTTTTTTTAGCATGCCCATTATGGATTTGACCAGTCTTACAACGGGGCAGAGACGGGGTCCGAAATATCCGGATGGACTCGTCCTCATTCGATCTCGGATCTCCCAGAGAAAGACTGCCATCTAAACCGCTCTGTCATCCGGAACAATACTATATAAAGGCTTAATTTAAATTTTTAAAGTAGTAGTATGTAATTTATATACTTTTATGCTTTTATCTGCTTCAAGTAAATTGTAACAGTCATTTTTTGTGTGTATATAAACCCAAAAAAAAAAAACACAGTTATCGACCATTAGAGTGAATTTTACAAATATCAATTCATATTAATTATTATAAAAATAAGACCTTATCATAAAAGAAATTTTTTGTTTATAATGGTAACTGTAGTTAAAGTCAGTTTGTAATTTCATATCAATTAAAAATATAAATATTTTTTGAAAGTTTTCCAATTTTTTAATGCATAAAAACAATCCCCATTCAAAATATGAATTCATGTAAAATACTATTATTTTATGTATTGTAATCAAAAAGGAAGATGTCAAAATCACAGGTAGATCAGAGATTTTGCAATAAGATGACTAAGCTTCTTTTTTATCCAATGGTCTTTCGAAATTATTTTTGGATCATAATATATATACATCAATTGTTAAACTATATATTTATTCACATTAAAATTCTCAACTGGAATATGAAAATGTAATGATGATAATTGTATTTCTTGTATGCATTTTTGAATTACAGAATAGATATTTTCAATCCAATTCATTTTTAATTACTGTTTCAAGGATACACAATTTCAATTGTTAAAAAATTTTATTTGATATTCTCCTCCTGTATCATATTTTCTTATTGAAACCGAATTCCATTATTATATTAATAATTAAATAATCCATTTTTATTCGCAAGCATGAATCACTACTAAACGACCATAAATTAGTGTATTCAAAGTAATCTAGCTGTTAACAATATACTTATGAAGACTTGTTTATATACAGGATGCAGTTCATTAAGAATGACAGCTGTTCCATTAAATTTCCTGATGGAAAATATTTGTTTCCTTAGGTTATTTTTATGATTATATCTTCCAAATTTGTCTAATCTGTTTTCATTCCATATTGCTCGAAGGTATATAGATTTACGAAAACTAAAAGTGCTATTCTTCAATAACATTTCCTCCGAAAACAATATTTCTTTTAACATATTAAAAAAAAATGCATAGAAAATCTTATTTATACCTTACAAAAAAAAAAACATTTTTTATAAACAAGATGACCTTGAATTAAATTAAAGGTAACAGATGTTTGTCTTGAAGTTTACCTCAACTGATCCTCAAACATTTCAAGGACTTAAGGCATTTTAGTAATGTATTTTGTTTAAATATTAATATTTAAAAAAAAATTTTAAGAGCAAAGTATTAAAAATAATCAATGCAAATATACTGCCAAAATCAATTATTATTATTATTATTATTATTATTATTTTTTGGAAGAATCAATTGAAACTAAAATCAAAAACTAAATATTCTTATATTTTAAGCTGAAAATTTATTAAATTTATTATAGCTAAACTAATCCAAAGTTATTAAAAATTAGAACACTTAAGAAATTCAACACTTAGAGAGTTAAAATATCACAATATAGATGTTTTCTCCATCTAAGATTATTTGATGACCCATATAAACTCTTATCAAACATCATTAAACTATAATTATAGTTTCAATACAAACTTCTGTATTTTTAATTAATTAATTAATTTTATATATATAACTCAAAATTAAATTTCTGTCTTTACTATTATATTAGAAATTAATTATGGAATACAAAAGAATAATTGTGGTATGTAATTAAGAATTAAAGCATCGATGTATAGAATTTTGCAACTTCCTTTTTATTTCAAACATCTTAATCTCTAAACAATTTACAATTTAGATTATGTAATTTAATCTATTCCATTATATATAACTATCAAGTTACAGTTTATTACTATTATTCTACACTTTTTGAGAACTAGCTTTCTCCAAATCTTCCAATGAATGTGGCCAAAATGTTGGATTCTTTGGATTTAAGGCATATTGTGGGAAAGCATCATAAAAATCTTCCATGGTCATCTCTTCAAATGGTATTATTGCTTTCAAAGAATCAAGCTGAAATAAAATTTTCATAAGTCAATGCTATTTTATTAATTAATAAATATTAAAAAAGTGTCATTAAGAAGATTTTTTTTATATCAAGGAATCTGACTAACTGTAATAAAAATTCACTTATTTAAATAAGTGAATTTTTGTTACAATTAACCAAAATATAAATCATTATCTATCTTTATAAACTTTAAACCACAACACACTCATACTCAACGAGTATAAAATATATAGTGGGAATACTTTCAGTTTATTGAATTATTTGATGATACTTTAAGTAAGCTTTTTCAAATATTTTTATCGTATTTACTGAGTAAGGATAATACAATAGCCCCATTATATTGAGTATATAGGGAGACAAACTAAACAAATGATATATCAGGTGGCACAGATATAACTGATGTATTGGCTAATGCATTTTTACATTTAGGAGAAAACAAAAAGACCTGATATATCTGATTGGGCAATATAAAAAGGGGCTATTGTATAATGTTAAATTAAAACGACTGAATAATGATAAATTAAAAATATCATCCTTCTCAAAATTTTAATTTCATTAAAAAATAAATGAATAATCATTTAATAAATCAATAATATTGTTAGAAGATACATATTTAGTAGAGCCAAACTAAACCAAACTTCAGACACAAGTCTTATTATAAAACATACAGATGTTCTTACACCATATCATATTAAAGTTAGTTCCTCCTTTACCTAAATGCTTCTATCAGCAGCTATACCACGTTTTAAAGCAATCCTGGAAGCCATTTTTTTGTGACATATTTAATCGAATGACTTTCGTCACTTCAGCTTCCACTATGTTGCTTATTAGAATCTGCATCCCTTCGACTTCTCTTTCATTTTAAGGAAACAGATGAAAGTCTATAGTGGAAAAATCAAGGGAGTAGAAATTGGGAAAGCAATGTTATACCTTTCTTGTTCACATATTAGCTAACCAGGAACAACAGATGAAAGCCAAGTCTGAAGCACAGACAAGGCAGTGAAGCCTTAAAGACATTGTCAAAACAGTACTGGAAGCTATTTTTGCAGACAGTATTGAATTGAAGGCCATGAACAACTTATGAAATATTACCGTAACTCTATACCTATATTCTTGGAGTTTATTATAAAATTCATTATATATCTATATTAGGATTTTAATAGTTATAAATTAAATTTATTATCAAAGTCAAAATATAAGTTATCATATATTTTTATAATAATATCAATTAACAAGCAAAACTCTTTTGCTCTCACTTGGACTCAAATGTATTTCAGGTTTTCTTCTGTTTTTAGGTATAGGGGAATTAAAAAGTTGTCAAACACCATCTACATTGCAAATAATACAATGTAGGTGCACACTAACTTTTTAGTCACCAGTAAATATACCATTTATATTCTAGACTTTATATTTTTATTATTATTAAATCTATCAGTCCAAAAACAGTAGAGATAAAACTATGTTTATGCTATTAAAATTTTGATCTTCCATTAACGTGTGTTAATTAATATCAAATTGATAACTCATATCAGAAATCAATTTCATCACTATTAGCCAAAAGAAAAACAAAATTATTATTTATAAAATTTTACAATTTGATAAGTTATTACAGTATTAAGATGTAAATAATTTTATTTTTTTAAAATTCATTTTTCTTACTGTTAAGAAAGAGCATATCTTTTGCTGAAGAATAAATACATATATTTTCTTCCAAGAAACACATTTTACCTGTTGTTTCTTTTAATTTATGATTACATCTCTATACGAGTATTTAAACAAATGCTAATGATAAAATATGTGTCTAAACAACTGTCTACTTCAAGGAAGTACTGTACATAGCATTTTATAAGTTAATTATGTCTTTTAATTCAAATTTTGTTGAAAATGTTATTAGTTTTAATTTAATAATAATTATACTAACATTGAAAATGATTCCAAAAACAATATTTTGCTTAAAAATTATAAAAATTTTTCCTGTCATTGCATATTACTTTAAATGCATTTGAAAAAATGTCAATTTTGAAGAAGTGTCATAAAGAAAGAAATTTATACTAATATTTCTCAAATTAAATAGATGTAAAAAATAAAAAATGTCATACAAATTAAAATTTTGCAATTTTTATTTAAAAAAATAAAGTATTATATTGTTCAATTTCCTTGTAATATTATAGTTAAAAGATAGTACTAAAATTACAGGAAATTTTAGTGCGGTTGATATCAATCTTTAATTATAATAGAAATATAATAAGATATAAAAATATTTCTTTTATTGTTTTAAAATACTTGTCTTTCAAAAATATTAATTATCAAATATTTTATAAAATAATAAGCAAAACATGACATAATATTGTTTTAATTCCACACAAGAATTTAGCGTATTTACAAATTTAAATTATTTAATTCCATATTATTGAAATATCAAAAATTTTTTCATTGTTACTAATTGCAAAAAAAAGTTTCTATATTTCTAAATGTATTGCTTAAAATTTGTGAAAGAATGTTCGAGACGAAATCATTTGGAATTTGTCTAAAAATTTTTCTCTTGAATTTACCCAAATTATTTTAAAATCTAACGCAATCATCTTATTTACATATAAATTTTCATAATATATAAAACTCCCACTATTATACAATATATAATAGCTTCCTATGTCTTACTGAGAGTGTATTTCTATGATTCACATGGGAACAGTCTAGATCTTTCAGATCAAGTAAATTTATCACATCAAAATCAGCTAACTATTGTTGAATTATCCCATGACTAATTATTACATAAAAAATTTTACTTATATATAAGAAACAAATACCATAAAAGCAAGGTAGTTCTTGACCTATTAATCAATGCCATTTTTTTTTTTTACTTTAACAGTCAACACACAATTACACTTAATATATTAATATTGAAGAAGTATTTATTATAAAATATTAATTTTAAAGAAAAAATTATCTTTATTGCAAATGATCTAGATTGATTTTTGCTCTCTCCTTACTTCTGGTTCATCAAAAAATTTCTATTTTCATTTGGCTGCTCGAGTACAGTTTTTTAAGATCAAAAATTGAAGATAATCATTAAGTCATAATGTGGTTTCAACAGGGCATTATTCAATGTAAAGGGCAATTGGTAATATTAAATTAATAATGCTGACTGTTCATCTTTAATTCTTAGCTGGCATGATATTTATTTGGTATTTCATTTCCTATTCTATTTGATTTAACTACTGATATTTTGGTATAATTTAACACTGATTTTTATGCTGTCATCTCATAGAATTATTTTCTAACTTACTGTAACAAAAACTATCATACAAGTAATTCAATTTTTGATTGCTTAACTTGAACTATATGTCAGAAACAATACTATACTACTAATTTCTTCTTCTGTTTTCATGATCAGCTTATTCTTTACATTATCCCAATTTTCTGTTATAATTCAACTGCAGGTAAATGAATAATTGTTTCGTTCTTCCATTCCTGAGATGCACTTACAATATATACTATGCTATTGTTTAATGGATTTTTAATTGTTTGGACTTGTCAGTTCAGAATAACAACAAAGAGTGTTAAAGCATGAAGACTGATTTCAGTATTTGAAATTATGTGATGTAAGACACAACTATCAAATCCTACAACAAATCTGATTTTTTTCCCTCTTGAGTATTAGTTTTTGTGTGCTTAAGTCTGTATTTTTAGTTCATTATGTAAATTGCAATTAAGCAAATAATAATACCAATAAACAAACTTCTGGAATACCATATTTACTCATATAAAAGACAACACTGAATCTAAGACACACTTTAATTTCTAAATGCTCAAGTAATGGATATTTTTAATTAGACAGCTCAAAAATTTTGTCAATAGAATCAGTATTTATTGCACAACAAAATAAGCTATATATCATTGTCTTCTGTGGTAGTGGAGTTGGAAACTTCTTTACTTTCCATGTTTACTCTTTATAAATCAATACTCGATAAGATGTTTACATCTTTCCATATGCAATTACCCTTAGTGTCATTTAAGGCATTGGAAATGCTACATTTCTTTTTCTGGTATTTTCATGCAAATAAGTTACAACATTATTGTAATAGACTAATCAAACTGAGTTAAATTGATTTCTTAAATACTTGGTATTACAAATATTAATCTAATAAAATCATTAAAATAATGCAATGGAATCAGTGACCTCTATTGACCGAGAAATAAGAAGCATGACACTAAAGGTCACTAATTATAATATATTACTTCAAATCTAAGACACACCATTAAGACACTATTTTCAAAGATACTAATACCTGAAAAGTGTATGCTACATTTGAGTAAATACAGCAAGTTTTGAAAAATTTCATGACATTACTCCAACTCAGTTAAATATTATAGCTATGAATAAACATGATCTGCTTTTTGTCACAGTTTTTAGGAACATGATCTAATATAAAAGTGAGAATTCCTGTATAGTTAAATCATATATATGAATTCTGTAAATTCCAAAATTTTATTGTTTATAACTAAACACAGTAAATGCTTTATTCTAATAAGGAAATTATTTGATTATTGAAATATAGTTTTGTGTTATAAAAGGTTATGAAACTTAAAATTTTAACCAATAACATTTCTTTTACTCAATAAAAATTGGCTTCCTGAAGTTAGCAGTGGTTTATTTATTTATTTAGAGCAGAGATTGCAAACTGGTGGCCCATGGGTCAGTTACGGCCCATTAAAGCTTTATATCTGGCCCATGGCCTTGATGATTTCCTTTCTAAAAATCAATGTTTCTAACATCTTGGAGAAAATTAAAACAAAAATTTCAAACATCCATCTGTTTACATATGTCATAAAGGCCTGGCAACAAAAGGGCCTTTTTTTATAATTACAGTATGTTTTGGTTTACCAAATACTATTGAATACAGCCCATGTCTATTTGATTGGCCCTTCACTGTTTGAGTTTGAGACTCCTGGTTTATAGTTGTGTGTTGTCTACTACAAACCAATAAGATGGTTCATGTTACCATCTTAGTTTTCTGAAAAAATTTTTTAAAATATTTTTTAATTATATATATGTTATCTCTTTATAAACTAATAATACAAATATGATTCTGATTTATGAGTATTTAATATGTACAATAATTTGATATAAGAAGCTGCTTTACTTTATCCCTTTTCCTGATGTACAAGAAGAAATATTCTATGCAAATACTGATCAATCTTTATGAAATTTTGTCACATATAATAAATAAGTTAAATGGCATCGTATTTAATTAATATGTACAGTTGAATTTATAATTGCTTCTTCATAAACAATATCCTTTATTTCACTCTCTTTCCAGATGATAATAAGAGTTACAAAAAAAAAAAAATATTAAAAGCAGCAGCAACAGAAATAAATATAACATGTTTAAACATTATAGTAACAAGTAGCAAAATCTCATTAATATAGTGTAATGTGCTAAAATTTCAGAACTAAATACAATATGTATAAGACCTAATAAATATACTTTAAAAATATCAATAAAACAGTAATAAGCAGGGTTTGATTTCACATTTAAATAACAGGAAAAACAGCTCAATAAATCTAGGACATTAATTGGAATTGTATCAGATACCTTTCAATTTGTTCAGGTAAATGTTCAGGTGAAGTATTGTTTCAGCTGTGAGATAGCTTTTGAAATTACTTTTTTTTCCCTATTGTTATAGAAAACAAGTTCTCTTTTGTGCTATTTCCATAATGTTTTTTTTAATAAATTTTATGAACCTAATAAAATTACTTTCTGAAACCTATATTTTAGTGCACTGCTTTTTGGGGGAATTCTTTCTTTTTGATATATTACATATTACAACAGCATGTCACTTATGTCCAGTAAATAATTATACTAAAAAAGTACGATAATTTCTTTAAAAATTTATGTACCTAGTAGCATATTGAATTTAACATTTCAAAAAAATAAATTATTAAAGATCTAGTGAATATATTAAAAAGATTTCAATAAAATAAAAAGTTTCAATTTACAAATTAAATATTCGACTAACCTACAAAAACTATGAAAAATGGCTAATGAAAATTAACTTATCAATTTGATAAAAATTAGTAACCAGATGGTTAATTATAAAATTTTTGAATTTTCTGATCAATAAAAATTCAATTGCTAAATTAACTTTTGAAAACAATTTTTGTAAACAAACAAGAACAGGTAAGACCAAAATTATTAAAAGTTTATCCAATTTAGCTATAATTTATCTTTCCGCTTCTATTCCATTTTTCAAATATCGATATGTAACCAGTTCAAACACCATTATTCTCTAGGAATTATCCCATCCACAGACCCCAAAAATAAAAGTTTCAAAGAAAGCCCACGGAGGAGGGAAATATCGTAATTTCCGAAATGCATCTGGGTAAAATAAAGTTGTTCATTGATTAGTATTTTTTGGGTCTGTGGATGTGATAATTCCTAGAGAATAACAGTGTTTGAACTAGTGACATATCAATATTATTAAAAGTCTTAGTAATGATAATGATAATGCTTTTTGTTATTGCATAAAATTCTACTGTAAAAAAATCTCTTAAATACTCATAATCTGAACTTTTTTTAATACCATTTCAATAATATTAATGTTCAATATTGATGTTTAATTTTCAGTTCAGTTTATTTTACAATTTTTTATTTGTAATATAAAAAAAAATGTTCATTTTAATTATTAATATATATTTCCAGGAAAGAAATTTACCTCTTTCTGATATTTAGCAATTCTTTCATTTGATGCTTTAATGAATTCTTCTACTTTCTTCTCCTAGAATAATAAAATAGATTATTAATGTTAAAAATAATTTTAATTAAAAAATTAAAATTTACTTAGCTATTGATAAAAGTTTTGACTCTAATATTTATTTAAAATGCTTTCAGACTTCAGCCCGTCCCAGATTTTGATTTTTTAAATGCTCAGCAATATTTTATTTTCTTAATGTAAATGCATTCTTCATAATGTGCATCAGATAATTTTATATTACGTTGATTAAAAAAAGAGCACTACTGATATAAAATTAGAAGAATGAGATTACAATTTAAACAAAATGAGATACACAGATCAGTTAGTCAAAAGACAAACAAAATCTTGCCTCACTAACTTCTACTTGATGAAATACCTCTAATTTTAAGACATTTTAATAAACAAAAGAAATTTAGATCAATATTGAAACTAATAACTTAAAATACTTTGCAATAAATTTTTAGGTATATAAACTAAAGCATTAAAGCTTTTATTTATGTAATAATAAATAAAATCAATTGAAAAAAGTGAAAGAGAAAGATGAAGAAATAAAATTAAAGTGGCAATTTTTACAAGTTATTCTTTTTCTCTTTACTATACTATAAAGTTTTTATTATTATTTTATTTTATAAGTATTTATACAATTTTTTTATATATGATATATGTAAATTTTTGTCGTAAACTTCCTTTAATTTATCTACATAAAGTAAGTCAAAACTTCGTTATGATTATTTATATACAGTATTCATAGAACATTTTCTAAAATTTTAATATTTTTCTGTAGGAAAATTGATTTTAATTTCTACAAATATCCACTTAGATCTACATTCCTGGAATACATACAATTAAAGTATAATCATGACACTGTATTATTTCAAATTAAAATTGTATTTAAAGAAAATTTTTAATTCATAATTTTTATTTTATAATTTATCAGAAATTTCATTTACTTTGAAATGTTCCATTTTATACATAATTTTGTTTGGAATTGTCATATTGTTCTATTTTATTCAATTTTACTATTCTTAACTATTTTAAAATAAACCCTTTTCATCTTTATGGAAATAAAGATGAAAAGGATTCATAACTCATTAAAATTTCAGTAAATCTAAATTATATCCAATACAAATTGATGAATCATCATTCATTGAAACTATTATTATTTTTATTTGGATACATAAAATATTCAAAAAAGTTTAAGTTTATGACTCTCCATTCTACTGACATACTAATAACTCATGCTGCAAAGCCATAAAAATATATAATACTGTACATATATACATACATAAAAACAAACATGTTTTCTAGTTATCAAATCAATATTTAGAATTGAATCTTTTACACAAACAAGAAAAATAAATGTAATTACAATTCTTTATATTTTCTGTAAAATCATTTCTTTAAAAAGAAAACTAAAGAAGAATGTTTTAATTATTAATATATAAATATGTATTAAACTATTATAATTTCAGAATATAAATAAGGTATAATTCTATCAGAAAAATATAAATATACAGTGCTTTTCTAGAAACAATCAGGTATTTCTTATATAGTTTTAAACATATAAAATATTTTTGAAAACATTAGCTGTATTTGAAAGTTGCATATTTAGAATATAATGGCATAAATAAATATAGTTGTTATAATACAATTTTTAATTTTCAAACTAATTTAATGAAACTTTTTCAAATATTAATTTATAGCTTATATAATACAAAATTAGGAACTGATTGATAAAAATATAAAATCATGTTATAAAACCAAACATATAATTTACTCATTTAATACTAAACAGAAATCATTTAATAAATAAGAAATCATCAATAATTAAAAATCCAGCAAAATGGAAGTACAGTAGAGCATCGATTATCCGAATGTCGATCAACCAAAACATCAATTAGCCAAAGCTTTCCAGTCGGCAAATTTAAATTTTTGCTCGTGCTGTGGTGCTGCAATCTTTGGCTACTCCAATATTATTTTTGTTGGTGTGTGTGTTTTAGCTGGCAGCACTGGCGCGACCATGAGAAGATACTTAATGACATGCCAGGATTTGAACAAATTTCAACATGGGATAGGTTAATATATTTATTCGTACATAATCAGTTATCCAAAAAATCAATTTTCCGAACAACCCCAGTCCCCAATTGATTCAGATAATTGATGCTCTACTGTATACTTTAATAAAACTAATAGTTTCAACTAACTTTATTGGCTGTTACAATAAAATTATTGTCAAACAAAATAGAATTTACAAATTTAAATAAAAAGAACAATTATTCGATTGGAAGTTGCTACTTGCATTGTTCATTGTGTATTAAAGATATATGGTAATTTCTTATTTATACATCCAGTTTCTTTGATTATTTTTTACATTTAATATTTGTTTGGCTTATTGATTAACAAGCATTTTCAATTTGCTATCAATCATATTTTGTTTGATATGTTGAAATGATATGTTGTTACATGTTAGAATTATCTATTCAAGCATATACACGAAACAAAAAACTTAACTATGAAATTAAATTGTTACATATAGATTTGTAAACTTAACTTATAAATTTTGTGTCACATGGATAGGTAGGAGTTTAATACTTCTATCTTAGCTATATTACAAAGCTTGAGAAATTAATAATTAAATTCACAGTTAGATACAAAATTAGAAAGGAATTGCAATACAGTGGAACCCCGGTTAACAAACTTAATCCATTACGCGACTCCATTCATTAACCAAAGGAATTTTTTCCATAGAAATTAATGCAAATGCAATTTATCTGTTCTAACCTCCGAAATTTTTGTGATTTTATTTGTAAAATACAGTAGGTTTTGTTTGATGAAAATGTAGGAAAACATAGTATCTATCATTACAGCAACAAACATGTAAACTTTATTTAATAAAATAGCACTGTGCATACCTTTGTTTGATTTAGTTGGTGGCAGAGGAGTGGAGATATATAGAGCTTAATGCTTAGAAGGGGAATCCCCATCCAAAAAAATAGAGGATAGCACTTCATTGGGAGATTCTTTGAGTCGAGGTCTCTTTTGGTAAAGAACAAAAAATTGATCTAAAGTTGATTGTCTTACTCTTTTAATCAATGTTTTTCTTAAATTCGATAGCACATTGTCATTTTTTATTGCCACTATCACTTTTCTCTTTCTTGGATGCCATATTGATTAAATACATAAATCACAAAACTAAAAAAGAAGTTTAGCACAAACACTCGGAGAAGCAATGCTTAACTCACACATGCCTAACAGCAACTAAAATTTGACACAAAAAACCATTACATTTGTTATCTGAGACAAAATTTTTGCAAAATAAAAGTTTGTTAACCAGGGTTCCACTGTATATAGTGGACTTTTTCCTTTATAATATTAACCCATTCTATTATTAGTATCACATCATGATATTTAGATAATTAATTTCAAAACCTGAGAAGTTAAAATGTTCAACGCAGAACTAAATTATTTTTCCTTGTGTGTGTGATTTGCGATTAATTAGCATTTATTCATTCAAACTTTGAATAACTGTTTAAGTGGTAAAAATTTTTTTAATCTACAAAACAACTTTTTACTCAGTCTATGTAGTATCAAATTGGGTGCTAGTTTATATTTTGAGTATATAATACTATTATAATGTTTGTAAATAAAGACACAGTTGTTCCAAAAATTATTTTGAAAACCACGATTTTATTACATTTTATCGAATAAAACTTTAGACGACCAGACCTTCCTTTTAAATTTATATTTTTAATTGGATAAAATTTTTGGTGTTTTTAAGGAATGTTTTGAACTGGACGGCCGAGTAGCCTATAAAGGAAGGTCTGGTCATCTAAACTTTTATTCTATAAAACGTAATAAAATGGTGGTTTTCAAAATAATTTTTGGAACGACTGTGTCTTTATTTACAAAGAAAATTTTGCCATTCGACGGAAACTTTAACTATTATAATGTTTTCAAAGTAAAACTTTTATTGTTTTACACTTAATAAAAGATAATGAATAATTTTTAGTTAACAAAGTGATTTGATTATGCAAATTTAAAAATTTAAACTGTTTCATCTAGTTTTCTGTGCCACTGCATTCTATATCAAAAATACCTCAAATTATAGATTCAAAAAATTCTATTTAAAAAAAAAAATGCACAAATTATCCAAAAAAATTCAATATTTAAAAATTTATTTATAGTTAAGACAAAAATAAAAGAAATACAAATTGAGTGAAAAATAGCAAGTAATATCTAGAATTATTCTCAATTACATATTTCAAAGAAATTTGAAAGTTGGAAAAGAATTTAATCTTTCAATATTAAAAAAATTTAAATCAATTAATAGAACATTATATTTGTTAATAATTACAGGAACAAGGAAATATGCATGCACTGGTCAATTTTAATCAATTCACTGGAATAACTTAAATACACATTCTATTAAAAAAAATAATAATAATTTAACAAAAAGAGTTAGACTTCAAGGGCACAAAATTGGACTATCAGTTTCATCACTGATGGCACTACAATCAGTGAAAATGGGGGTCAACTGCATTTTCTTAAATGAGAGTCTCCCATTTTTTTTATTAAATATTATGATTCTACATTAAAAACAAACTTTCTATCTAAAACATCTTTTTGAAAGTTATACTGATCAGAAGTTATGAGTGTTTGAAGTCTTACATGACCCACCATACTGTATTGTGTAAATCTGTGGCTATCTTTGAAGTTCATTAAAACAAGGAAGAAAATAAAATGCTTTTAAAAATCATCAGAAAATTATTATTATTTGGTGGAATCATTCTTTTTCTTCAAATAATGAAATGATAAAAACTACTGCATATTAAAGCCATCAAGCTTGTGATAAAGAGATATTGATCTTGATTCTTCCATTAAACATAAATGCATATTTTTCAAGTTATTCTAGTAGAATAGTTAAAAGGAACAATCCTATATAAACACACAACTTCCACTTAATGTTTCCCTAGGATTATTATTTTAGGTCTGCAAACTTCATAGAACTTCATCTTCAATACAAT